CTTGAAATGCTGATGATTCAATTGAACTTGAGGTCAAAAAGCACCAGAGGGTACGGACCCCAGACCCAACCTGGCCCTTAGAGCCCAGTGGGCCAAGGCAGGAGCTGCAGTTACCTGTCCTACATTGAAAGTCTGAACCAAGCCACTTGTCAGTGGGAGTTTGGGAAGTCTGGGAGCCGGAAGGGATGCTGGGGCTCAGCTTCCTTATGACAGCGGGAAGCAAGAGTCCAAAGCAGGAGGTGCCTTGCACGGGGTCACACAGCTATCACACCCCAGCTTTTCCTTCTGCCGGAAGGGTGGTTCTGAGAAAAAGCAACACATGTGCCCTCCCAGCAGAGGCAGTGAACCCATGTGAGGGCCCCAGTGTGAGGAAGGACTGTGCAAAGGGCTCTACAAGCGGCTTCCACAGCTGTCTCTGTGTTGCCAGATAACAAGGAGCTGAGCCCCACTGAGCCCTGCCCAGGAACCTGTGTCACGGCCCTGGAAAGGAAGGAAGGCAGAGGGAGCAGAGCCGCTCAAGAGAGGTGACAGGCAGCACCCCTGGGAGAGAGGGAACCCCCACCCTAACCTTGGCACAGTTCAGTGATAAACAGTGAGTAGAAAACCAAGATACTAAAGCAGTGGTCAGCAGTTCTATGAAAAGCCAAACAGTAAATATTGTCAGCTTTGTGTGCTGGACGATCCCTGCAGCAATTACTCAACTCTGCTGTTATAATGGGAAAGCAGCCATAGATAATACGTAAATGAATGGGTGTGGCTGTGTTCCAATAAAATTGTATGTGCAAAAAACAGGCGAAAGGCCAGGTTTCGACTGCAAGTCATGGCCTGCCAAGCTCAGCACTAAACTATCACACTAAAACCATCTGGACCTGGAGACGAAAGACAGGATTTCCTCTTGCTCAGCCACACGAACCCTGGGATACCCCTATACTCAGGTCTCCAACGCTGGTATGTTTTTATTTCACTGTAACAGGTCTTAACAGCCTAAAACTGTAAATAACACAAATGTTATTTCCCCACAATAGACTATTACAAAACAAGAATAAATGATCTACAACTATATACAACTGTATGAATGAATCTCTAATGAAAGATGTCAGACACAAAAGACTTCATACTGTTAGGGAGGAATACTTCGTGGAAAAACTGTAACATTCAATCAAAAGTTACTAAATAGTCAAGAAAAGGAAAAAAGTGAGCTACAAGAGAAAAAAATTCAGTAAATAAAAAACACAAGTATGACAGAGAAGAATTCGCAATGACTTTAAAACAGGTATTGCAAATATGTTCAGGGATTTAAAGGAAAATATAAATATGATGAGGAAAGAAATCAGAGACATAAAAAAGACCCAAATGTAACTACTAGAAATAGAAACTACAATATTAGAAATAAAGACTTCACTAGATGGGTTTAACAGCCAATGAGACACTACAGAAGAAAAAACTCAGTCAAGTGAAGACAAAGCCACAGAAACTAAAGGAGAGAGGGAAAACACTCAACAAAATCAAAAACTAAACTGAGCCTCTGTGACCTAGGTAAACAATGTCCTAGGAAAATGGGAGCGGGAAGGGGAGAAAAAGGGTGTACATTTGTAAACATAATGGCTAAAATATTCCAAATCTGATGAAAACTATAAACCCACAAATCTCGAAGGCCCAATGAACCCCAAACAGAATATATGCAAATAAAACAATACCAGCATGTATAAAATTGCTAAAATCTAGAGTAAAAGGAGAAACTTTTGAAGTTAACTTGGGGGTGGAAGGTGGCATAGTTCATAAAGTATACATATGCAAAATATTTTTACAAAATCAAATGAAAACTTATCAAAATGTCTGGGATGCAGAAAATGTACAGCTTCAACTATTTATATTAGGAAAAAAAGGATCTAAAAATCAGTGATCTAATCTTCTACTTTAAGTAGCTAGGAAAAAGCAAAACAATCCCAAAGTAGAAAGGAAGAAATAATAAAAATAAGAGCAGCAATCAAGGTGACTGTGAGTGTACTTAATGCTAATTAACTATCCACTTAAAATGGTTTCAATGACAAATTTTCTGTTCTGTATGTTGTACAATTAAAAAATAATTTCAAAAGATTTTTAAAAAGTAATTAAAAAGAGAAAATAGAGAAAGCATCACCTAACTAAAAAAACATCAGGTACAAAAGAGTTTAATTTATAGCAAATAGGAGGCAGAATAATCATTACCCAGGGAAGAGGTGGGGTAGGGTGGGCATGACTGTAGGGGCAAAAGAAAAGTTTCTGGGGTGATGGGAATGTTTTATATCTCCATTGTGATGATGGTGGTTATGTGTCATGTACAGCTGTCATTAAACTGTACAGTTAAAATGAATAAATGTTACTCTATCAGATATCAATAGAGGTGATCTTTATAAAAAGGATTTCCATTAAAGAAAAAAAGTACAAATAAGAAAAATCACTCCTGCAGACTATGCCATGCTGATTATTTACCAGCCAAGGAGGCAGAGTTATACAAGCACACCAAGCTACGTAGACTTGAAAGTACCTGCAAGCATTTAACAGTCCTACGTGCCAAGCAATAATCTCAGAGCACCCTGAATATGCCTTCCTCAGTAATCCCAAACTGGCAGTCCCAGACTCACACTTGCATAAGTGGGGGAGATCAGGGGCTGGGGCCCTGCAGGAATCAGCACCACAGGCTACTCCTTAAGTTCTAGTGGAGTTTCTGATTAAGCAATCCTTGCCCTCTGCCTTGGCAAGTCTAAATGTAGAAACACACAAATACACACACACACACACACACACACACACACACACACACCCTCTGTGCCAAAAGACAGTCAATTTTCTGTGAACTGGGGCAATTACTCTGGAGAATGTAATTTTGACTATATGTCAGGCAGTCAAAACAATGTACACACCTTGTGACCCATTTAATCTCACTCCTGGGAATCTATCTCAGCGAATAATTTCCCTCCCTTCCCTAAAGGGAAGAATGTGTATTACACAAACTAATCACTGCATCCTTATCTAGGATAGCAAAAAAATTGGAAACAACCTAAATGTCCAATATGGGAATTTCTAAAAATACAACTGGAAAGATAATGTTGCAACCTGGAATGTTCTATACTAGTAGATACTGATGTGAAAATCTGAAGACTGCAAGGATACTGCTCACAGGATATAAAACTGTGTGCTTGCAGACAGGACACTGGGCCGTGGAAGAGGGAATGCAGTAAACCTGGGATGCCTTGTTTAGCCTTTATGAATTTCCATGTAATTACAAAAGTTTATTCAATATTACTTAAAGAGAAAAAGGGACATCTTCCCAACAGTGAAAACAAAAATACACCACACACGTTATTAAAACACTAGACTTTTCCCTTCTGACTTCATTACCGAGATGGAAGTGAAGAAATCATTTGCCTGAAGATCCAGGGATCAGGGCTCGGGGCCTGATATCACAGACACAGAGTTCAAGTCAAATAAGGGCAATTCTCCAACAGTCAGAAAAGCCCACGAACAGCAGACTATCCTGGGAGGTGGTAAGTCCTCTACAAGGAGGAGCATAATAAAGGTCAGATGAAGAGAATAAGACCCCACCTGCAAAGATGTCATACACAGGGGCAGGGGAAGAGAGCTGATCTCTCCCCCTTGGTTGGGCTTGTCTTTCCTCTCTTGAGCAGGGAGGCCACATGCCCAGTTTTACACAGGACAGGCCTGGGGTGCACCTGTTGTTCTGGCAAAATTCTCAATAAACTCTCTCTCACTCTCAAAAGTTTCCTGATTTGAAGCTAGATTACATGTTCACCCTACTCACAGGAGGCATCTGTGACCTTGAAGGAAGGAGCCTCAAGCCACGCTGGTCACACAGCACAAATGTCCATGGCTCTCATCTCACTCAGAAACAGGCTGCACAGTGGCAAATTCACATATTATACAAGGGTAGGGTCAGATGTACTCAAGTCACTGAGAAAGCCAATGGCAGAGTGTCATTAAATTTTTTTTTTTTTTTAACTAAAGGACAAGCAGAGGACTCTCCTGTGTAACACAGGCCTACAGTCTACTTAGAAGGGGTCTCAGTTCTTCACTTTTAATCCATCTCTGAAGCAGATCCAGGCAAGGACTTTACCCAACCTTTGCATGCAGATTAAAGCCAATGCTTGTGTGGGAAAGCAACCCTGGAGTTGCAGACTTCATCTGAAACATCCCTCTGGAGGATTCACTCGGCAAACCCAGAAAAGCTCAAATGTTTTGTGAAACCAGTGAGGGGTATAAATGAACAAAGACAAAGGGCCAGATGCCACTCCTCCATTGTACGCCTCTCCCAGCTTCCTTCCCTCTGCACGTCAAAGTGAGATCTTCTGTACCCATTAACCAACAACTCCCCAATCTGCCCTTCACCAGCCCCTAGCAACCAGCATTCTACTTCTGTCCCTATGATTCTGACTACTCTGAGTATCTCATATAAGTAGAATCATCAAGTATTGTCTTTTTGTGTCTAGCTTATCTCACTCAGCACAGTTTACTCATGGTGTAGCATGTGACAGAATGGCCTTCCTTTCTAAGCTCTTTTACATCTCTGTATCACATTTTGTTTACCACTCAATCACTGATGGACACTTGGGTTGTTTCTACCTTTTGGCAATTGTAAATAATGCTGCTATAAATGTGCACATGGGTGTACAAACATCTCTTCGACATCCTGCTTTCTTTTTTTTTTTTTTTTTTGAGACGGAGTTTCACTCTTGTTACCCAGGCTGGAGTGCAATGGTGCGATCTCGGCTCACTGCAACCTCCGCCCCCTGGGTTCAGGCAATTCTCCTGCCTCAACCTCCTCAGTAGCTGGGATTACAGGCACGCGCCACCATGCCCAGCTAATGTTTTTTTTGTAGTTTTAGTAGAGACGGGGTTTCACCATGTTGACCAGGATGGTCTCGATCTCCTGACCTCGTGATCCACCCGCCTCGGCCTCCCAAAGTGCTGGGATTGCAGGCTTGAGCCACCGCGCCCGGCCAACATCCTGCTTTCAGCTCTGTTGGTTATATCCAAAAGTGGAATTGTTGGATCATATGGTAATTTTATTTTTAACTTTTTGTGGAACTACCATACTGTTTACCACAGCAATTGCACCATTTCACGTTTTCACTAAGAGCGCACAAAGGTTTCAATTTATCCACATCCTCGTCAACATCTGCTATTTTCCATTTTAAAAAATAATAGCCATCCCAATGGGTGTGAAGTGGTATCTCATTGTGGTTTTGATGTGCATTTAAATTTTGCACTAGCAACAGGTCTAGCACAACCAAAGAATGATTTTTTTTTTTAAGTAAAAAATGCTAGCGCTCTCAAAAAGCTACATTGCATGGAAGCATATTTTCCCTAACATCCTTGTGGTAAGAACTTCATCAAGCCCATTCCATTCTCATTCTGTAAACCAAGAGGTCCAGAACAGACATGCAAACATCAGTGGCATCTACATTTCTCATCCCAAGCAGGTTTTAACAATCCCTGGGAAAACTGAAGTCAGAAAGATAGCTTAAAAAATGTTAGTGAACAAAGGGTATTTATCTATAAAGAATGCTATTGTGAACATAATTCTAAGTGCGGGCAAACTACTAAATCAAACCTCGTATTGTCCCAACACCTAGAACTGGTCACAGAAGCAACAAGTTGCCTTCCACCCAAACCTGCCTGCTGAGTCCAGTGTCCACCATCAGCAAGTGCAATCCTTCTGCACCACTGCTCCCTGTTAATTCATCAAACAAAATACATCTACCTGGGCTTTGCTTCAAAATAATCCAAAGTGTGGGGTGAGGGGAATACAAATCAAATAAGCTAGATGGTGGGAACATGGGGTTCATTTAATTATCCTACTTTTATATTTTCTCCATTTTTAAAAAAAGAAAACTTATCTGAAGAGGTAAGGGCTTGGGCATTCCACTTTATACATTTTCAGCAACCTGAGGCAGACACTAGGCAGCTGAGAGTGCTCTTTCACAAGGAAAACACCGAGGCTTATCCAATCTAGGTCACTCAGCTCAGGGAGGCCCTGGGGGTCAGAGCCAGCCTGGTACCCCCCTGCCACACCGTGAGCTTCCCAGAGGGCTGTGCAACCCAGTCTCAGGCCCTACCCTACGCTGGCATCTCCAGTGCAGATGAAGACTGCACATCACTACCAGGAACCTAGTGGGGAGGGACCAGCACCTTCTCCCTAAGTAAGGTGCTTCACCTTCCACTCTCATTTCCCAACCAACCTCTCTCATGCTTGGTCTTCCTGACTGTTCCTGTTTGTTCCTTCCTGTTCTGCCAAATGCACACTAACTGAAAAACGATTAGCTTTCAACACACACATTGCCAAATCTGCAAAACCCCCAAAATGCTGCAGCAACTTCAACCACCAAGCACACTTGCTACCAAGCTGGATTCATGCACTCCACTACTGGAAAACGGTGCTGCAAATGTGTTACTGCACAAGTTAACAGAGCTACCTGATGTCCAAAACTCTCTCCTGAGACCCTCTGAAGAAACAAAGGTATCAGGGCCCTCAGCCATAGCATTACTGGCAGAGTGTTGTTGCTCTAGCTGCAGAAATCAAGATGAGAGTCAGAGGTCAAGGCACAAAGCCAAGCAGCACACCCAGAGAGGGGAGCGTCTGGGTATCCAAGTGCCCAAGTGTCAGACTGCCTGCCTAGCCCAGCAACCCTCCACCATACACTTGGCTGGGTGTGCTGGATGGTGGAGGGGAACACCAGGTAAGGCCAGAGAGCTCACCAGACATGGACCAATGCTGCTCTGAGAAGCCATACATCATGAGGATAGAGCACAGACCCCCACATTGAGAGAGACCCAGAGGCACCACAGCAAACACCCAGCAATGCCCTATTTCAGGGACAAAGATGTGGTTGTTGGTGCAAAGTTATCTGAGCACAGGAAAAGGCGTGGGCTAAAGGACCAAGCCATTGAATCCCACCTTATTTATCTAGGACAGAAAATCCCCAAACACACTCAGATAAATCACCAGGATATGAGGCTGTAAAATCAAGCTTGCAAGGCAGAGAAGGCTTAGTAAAGTCTGCCTTGTTTTCAAGAGTTCCAGTCCCACTAGAAAATGCCAAATCTGCAGTAGAAGCAAAATGTGACGTCATGGTCACTCATTCTGTCCTTCTTTCTCCGCCCAGCCCCACACAGATACTCATAAACTATGTTTCATGGTTTTAAAAGCCTCCATGCATGATCATGTCCCCAGGCCCTCCTGCATAGAATCAATGTCTGCCTCTCCCTGGGCCAATCCCACTGGCAATAAACATGCTATATCTCCCTTAACCCACTGACTATCTCCAGCCAGTGTCCAGATTTTCTTCTCTTCTTTAAGGTAAGCATTCTTGGAAGAACTGTCAAGAGTCACCCTCTTCACCTCCTTACTTCCCATTGGCTCCTCAGCCAACTCCAGCTGGGTTTCCATCCACCCACCCCGATCCCCTACCCAGGGCACACAGTGGTCTCCTCAAGGTCATCGACAACCTCCACTCTGTCTAAGCCATTACCAATGTCTTGTCCTCATCCTTCTTCGCCTCCCTGCACCATGGCTGACTGCCTTTCCACTTGAAAGGCTTCTATAACACACAATCTCCTGGTCTTCCTTTTATCTCAGGCCACTCACTCTCAGCCAACTTGGGAGTGGGCTTTCTTCCTTGACCAAAACTCTAGCATCCTAGGGCTCAATATTCACACCTCTCCTCTTCTCAGTCAACAGATCCATCTTCCATGCTCTCATCTGGTCCAGGCTCCCTCTGATGGTGGCTGGCCAAGACTTCCATCTCCAGGACAGTCAATGACAAAGGAAATGGTATCTCCCTGAGGCTGGCTATGAGATAACTTTTTTTTTTTTTTTTGAGATGGAGTTTCGCTCTTGTTACCCAGGCTGGAGTGCAATGGTGTGATCTCGGCTCACCGCAACCTCCGTCTCCTGGGTTCAGGCAATTCTCCTGCCTCAGCCTCCTGAGTAGCTGGGATTACAGGCACGTGCCACCATGCCCAGCTAATTTTTTGTACTTTTAGTAGAGACGGGGTTTCACCATGTTGACCAGGATGGTCTCGATCTCTTGACCTCGTGATCCACCCGCCTCGGCCTCCCAAAATGCTGGGATTACAGGCTTGAGCCACCGCACCCGGCCGAGATAACTTAAATGTACCCTTCTACCCCAAATCCTATCTCAGAACCACCTGGTACCACGATCCATCCTCTCACTCTGCAGTCACTCCAAAATCAGATCACACCGCCCAACTTACAAGCCTTCTAATAATGATTTAAAGCATTAGAACTATTATTAAAACATTCCAACTATTTATTGAGACATGTATGACTCTCTGTGGCCTGGCTCCTGCATACCTCCATCCCCACCTGTGTCCCTTCTCCCACTTACTCAGTTCCAGCCACATGGCCTTCTGTTTGTCCTTTGTACATACAAAGCTCATTCCTGCCTCCGGCCCTTTGCAGCTGCCATTCTCTCTGTCTGGAGCGTTCTTCCCCAGACCCCTGCTTGGCCACCTCTTCATTAGTACTCAGTTTTCAGCCCACAAGTCACCTCCACAGAATGCCTTTCCCTGGGCACCCTAGCCAAGGAGCTTTTCCCTCACTGCTCTGTTGCTCAGGAGGCTGACATGGCTCTTGGTTACACATAAGCACTACAAGGGTAGGATTTTATTGGCCTTGTCTGGTATCACCTCCCAGAACCTAAAAAAGGACCTGGCCCACAGTCAGATACACACAAAGTACCTTGCTGCTGCTATCTCATTGGGGCACTTCCAGGCTCGGAACAGGCAGCGGCAGGTGGTGGAAACAGACAGGCATCTGGGCCAGGGCCCCAAGGCTTCCTGAAACCCCAAGGCTGGGTTGGCCTTACTGTGGCTTTCAATCACCTCGGCCTTTGGCCTTCCCCCATCCCCATGGTTGCCACTGGTTCTGTGAGGGTAGGGCTTACTGACCCTGACCACCACCTTATCCCAGAGCCTCACATAGTGTCTGGCAAATCTAGAGTGTGTGAAAAACCATAATTTACTAAATGAAGGACTAAACAAGGGAATGTGACTGCTCCCATACACTTACCCAGAAGATGATGTTGTAGCTGAAAAGGAGGTACTTGTACCAGCAGCTGACCTTGGCGTTAGAGTATCTATAATAGTGCATCTTCTGAGAAGCAGAATCTGCGGAGAAATGTGTGACTGGTGAGACGGCAGGCTCGGCGTTAAAATCTCTCTCCCAAACCTGCTCATATGCAGATTTCGGAAAGCTCCCAATCATTTCTGTCGTGTCCCTTTACCGGTCCAAGCAGAGGCCTACTACCGAGGCCAGGTATAGGTAATACAAAACTCAGGTTAAATTGGCTCTCCATAAAACAAATGATAAGGAAGATTTGTGAAGGAAGGAAGAAAGATGCTTTTTAAGTATCTTCTAAGTACCAGGAATTCTGCTTGGAGCCTTCCCAAACATTGATCTCATCACCTCTCAATTGGGAATTGATTTTTTTCCACTTCATGGTTGAGGAAACAGTTCAGAAAGGTCACATGACTTGCCCAAGGACAACAGAGCAATGACAGCCCAGGACTGGAACCATGGACAGGGGACTCCAAAGCCCATGTTCTTTCCACCCACCAGAGCCAACAGAAGAAACAGGGGCTTGACCACAAAGAGTCACGTTTGGGAGATGAACATGCAGGCAAGTCTGAACATGATCCAGCTGTGCCCAGTGAAGAAACGTCAAGATGAGGGCCCCATACTCATTCATGCAACATTTCCTGAGAACCTCTGAAGCTCAGCTTTCAAAGGGGTGAGGAAGGCCACGGCAGCCAGCAGCCAGCAGCCATCCCCCGCTCCCTCCCTCACCTGCCATCCGCCTTCCCACCTCAACCCGCCACGGCCACAGCTTTGTCCTCCAGGGCTGTAATGAAGCTTGTACTACACCACCGAGGTGGGAACACCCTGTGAACTGCAGAGTGAAGAGTGGGGCTGCTGTTTTTTCTCTGTGTCTAACCTCCAAAGCAACCTGAGAGGTCCTACCCCAGGAGGGTGCTATTTCTGAGGGACTTTCTGAGGGCCTGGCCTACCTTTACTGCTTTCCTTTTAGAACCCCAGTGGCAATCCAGGAGGACCCCTAAGTCCTCCATGGTCCCCTGCCCCCAGTGCAGTGGCTGAACAGTGGGGAAGAAGGGAGTGCCTCAAGTGGACAGGTAGGGACAGGATCAGAGGTCTATGGGGCAGAGGTCCCATGCCAGCCCCCTGCTCACCTCCCACTTCCCAGGTGAGGAAAGTAACACAGCCCAAGGCAAAAGCAGACAAGGCCACCCTGGGACTGAGGAGGTGACCCACCCACATCCGCCAGTGAGAAACCAGCTTCCACGGAGAGGCTACTTGCAAAACCCCTTCCTGTGAGGCTGCCATGGCAGGCTGGTTGCTGGTCTGCAATGTTCTGAGAATGAAGTGCCAAGAAGGGACATGAAACCACACTCCTCTGGAAACAGATCCCATGACCGCTCTACCTCTCCCACAGTGTAGAATTGACAGGCACAGCCTGGACACCACCACTCACCCACCGGCCCCTCCTTCGCAGGAGGGCTGGGAGAGCCTGGCCTGCCTGACCTCAGAAACCAGCAGGGGAGAACGACAGGCAGACAGCTACCCAGCTGCCCCATCCCCACCTCCCCACTTACCACCACCCCACCATCAGAAGAGCATATCCATAAAACTCGCCTCTAAGAATGAGTGTGAACACAACTACCTATTGCCCAAGGACTCTACAGGACACAAGAACATACAGGAGGCCTGAACACTGACTGGGCCACACAGAGTGGCTGCAGGAAGAGAAGGAGCTCTCAGGTAGAGACACAGGCGCCTTCCTTCAGCAACATGACCTCAGCCCATGCAAGTCCCTACTCTCTCGGGGTCTCAGCATCCTCACCTAAAGCAGGGCTCTTAGTGACTTGCCCCTAACGTCACTGGCATGAAGAGCCTGGCTGGCAGCATCAGAACCACTTATTCTAAATACAGATCCCAGCTCCCAACACAAGGTTCTGATAAGGAGGTCCGTGTTGGAGCCCTGAATCTGCATTTCTGACAAGTTCCCCTGGTGATACTGACATGCCGCCAGACCCATGCCCAGCAGATCAGGTTTCGGCTTCGGCACCGAGGGCTGCAGCACTCCCCTTGGGGATCCTACAAAGGTAGATGGGCCTGTGAGCTGTGGTGCAGCACACAAACTTGGAAAGAGTGGCTCCTTGCAGGCAACTAACTTAATGGTAGCTTTAGCTAACATTTACCAGCTTATGTTTCACAGATTAGGGTCCAAAAGCACGGGTTGGTTGTTAATTTTTTGTGTAGGTAGAGTCTCACTATGCCTAAGAGTCTCACTACGTTGCCCAAAGTAGTCTCAAACTCCTGGCCTCAAGCAATCTTCCTGCCAGCAGGGCCTCCCAAATTGTTGACATTACTTGCATGAGCCATCATACCCAGACAATGGTTTGGCTTTTTAAATTTTTTTTTTCCTCTCTCTCTCTCTCTCTTTAGGGGAGGGTTGGGCTACCCAACCATAAATCCATGACTCGATTAATGCATATAGGATGAAAAAAAAATTTTAACCTAAAACTCAACTACATTTATCACCGAGAACTGTCAGTTCAGCTGGAAATGCCCTATGAGGCAGAAACATGTTCTAAGTGGTAGAAACTCTGTTCCTTTTTATGGAAAAGGCAATCTGCCCCCTCTCTTCCTCGTGGTTCCCAGAGGAGCCTGGAAAGTAGAAGGCTGTACCCTCCAGGGAGCTGGGCCTCAGGGACTGGGGAGGGCTAGTCAGGCATGGAATCAAATGCCTTGGGATCCTTTCACCTCATTTAATCCAACCCTGTAAAGAACTCTCCAGAAGCAGTAAGAAAAGTCAAACATCCCCCTTCCTCCTCGATGAAAGCTCCACAAAGAAACCAGCTCATTAGCAAACATGTCTGTCTGCCTTCCACAGTGTTGGTAGCTCACCTCTGCTCCCCTGCTCAGGGCCTTTGCAAAATGACTGTCCTGTGGTGACACAGGGACTCTCAACGTGAAGGTCCCTGGTTTCCTGCAGCTCACACCCATTAAGTGTGCAGAACATGGAAAGGCTACAGGGAACACTTCATAGGAATGCAGGTGGCAGAGAGGCCAGCGCTCCGGAGCAAGGATTCTCCATGGGGCACCTGGCTTCCCTCACCATCTGCTGCTTCACCTTCTTCCACCCAAGACGCATGACCAACTAGGAAACAATTCTGCCTTCAGATGCTGGGGTCCACCCCCATGCCCACCAGAGACTCTCACAGCCACGACCTAAACCCCAAGCCCTCAGTCCCTCCCTGGTAACGTCAACACACGAAACTACACTAGCCAAGTCCACACTGCAGAATTAACTAGGAAGAAACCCCCACTCATCCAAGAAGAGGTATGCTCTACTCAGATGACGTATCCTGATGCACCTGCCACTTACAACCCAGAGCACAAGCACTACCAGTCTTACATCACATTTGGCCATTTTTGTACAACTCAGGATAACCCCATGAGGTCTAGGGGTGGGGCTGTCCCAGTGACACTTTTCCCCCATCCTCAAACCACAGAAGAGGAAACTATTGCAAGAAACTGTTGCAGGAAACATTTCAGTTTTCCTTCGTCCCCACTTCCCCACCCTTGCCCACCCACCTAACCTCGGGACAGGGAGGGAAGGCACCTCTCACTCTGTCCCTCTCTGCTCTACTGGCCAGCGGGTGGAGAAGCTGGTCTTGACCCTCCACGGGGCTGGCAGATCCTGGTCTCCACAGAGTTTAAGCTGAGAGAGGTAAATGGGAGACTCGTTTGGACCCCAGCCTAAGCCACATCCTCTCACACAGTGTACAGTGGCCTTCTATCTGTGGAGGGGTAATGATGGAGCTGCACAACAGGTGTGGCTTGGAGGCTGCAGAACCCCAAAGGAGGGAAAAAGGACTAAGCGTTCCTGAGCCACCAACAGAGCTATTATCACATTTATACAAAAATGACGGAAGGCTGATAAAGGCAGTGGCGCTAAAACTAGAACCCAGGTCTGACCCAAAATGATTCCCAAAGTGACCATGGTCCCTAGCATCTCACCTCATTTGCTAAACTACATCATACCAGAGGAAGGCAGAAGTTAGCCTTCTATGAGCAGATCCATCCACAATGAACATCCAACATCAATTATCTTAAACACACACACAAACACGCACACACGCCCGCAAGACGACTAAGAATCTTCCTAAGAGTAGGGATGGGTAAGCTCTTCACAAATGTTAAGTACCATGCCAGCAGAGAAGAATCTCCAAAAGCTATATTGCGTGCAAAGAAAAAAAATTGAGACCTCAAACTGTCTCAACTCTAAGAACATGACACAAAATAAAGCATCAGTGTGGCAGGTAAAAGGCACGTTTATCAAAATATCAACTTCTCAGAATGGGGCAAAGGGAGCATTGTTTAACAGTGGTGAGGCCGGGCGCGGTGGCTCAAGCCTGTAATCCCAGCACTTTGGGAGGCCGAGGCGGGTGGATCACGAGGTCAAGAGATCGAGACCATCCTGGTCAACATGGTGAAACCCCGTCTCTATTAAAAATACAAAAAATTAGCTGGGCATGGTGGTGCGTGCCTGTAATCCCAGCTACTCAGGAAGCTGAGGCAGGAGAATTGCCTGAACCCAGGAGGCGGAGGTTGCGGTGAGCCGAGATCGCGCCATTGCACTCCAGCCTGGGTAACATGCGTGAAACTCCCTCTCAAAAAAAAAAAAAAAAAAAAAACAGTGGTGAGACGACTGGTTAGCAACCTGAGGGGAGTTAAATAAGCAAATAGCAATTAGACATTTAAACGGCATACGCACATGCACGCACACACCCACACGCAGAGAACAGGGTATTTTAAGTTCATTTTACCCTCCTTCAACTTTTGAGGCAACAGGAAAAAACAATTCAAAGCACAAGACTACCAAGCCTGAACAGATAACAAATCTAAAAAATCCCCATGATTAAAAGCAACATTAAAATAAAAAAGGAAACATAAATGTTATCTCCAGCTGCAACAATTATGACAGAGTACATATCTGCAACCTATAGAGATCCGTACTTCAAAGAGACTCCCATTGCAGACAAATGAACAAAAGATATGAATATTATACACAAATGGAAGAATA